CTCATTCCCTTCGCATTCAATCGTTAAGACGAGCAGCTTCTTCCACGAACCGCTGCTTTGTGGCACCAACTCCCAAGAAGATGATCACTACTATCTTAACCTGTTCAAGTCTAGGGGTAACTGTTATCTTACCCACATATTAGCATAATTCGTGCCTCTTTCTCTGTAACTCTCTACCTCGAGTGGCTCGCGGACCTTGTACAGTGTAAACATCATTGTAAAAAAAAACAGTATTTTTGTTGAACTCTGGATGCTCCATACTTTCGACCTTGTGCCACATCTAAGCCACGCTTATAAAATCACTATGTAGATCAATTACGACTGAGTAGTGTATTTGATCCTCGCTGGGTGCCTCATACTTTCGGCCTTGTGCCACACCAAGCTTTGCTTACTAAATGACTATTAGTTATGATTAGGTTATATGAATAAAGACACAAGGAGCACGCGTTTCGTCCTCTGAGTGACTTGATTAAGGCAAAGGCAAGCGTTTTATTTTGTAACAAGTATTTATATACAAGAGCAAAAATGTTAGTGGTTTTTCAAATTTTTTAAATTTAAGAACACTCATAAATATTCATCAGGTTAGCCGAAAAGTCTAGGGAAACTATGGAGGACGCTAAATGATCACAATTAGTTTAATTTAATGGTTAAGATCTACGTTTCATGTCCTTTAGAGGTCGAGTTCATTTGATTACGATGAAATAAGTTAAGGTTACTTGCTAGTTATTTTCTTGTAATTCTTTAAAGCTAATTTTATTTGCTTGTCGACGATGTGGTTGAGGAAAGTTTCGTTAATAATCGATGACATATTTATACTAAAGAAAAAATTGATAGGAATTAAAGTCTTTTTTTTATTTTCTTGGTTTTTTTTAACAGTGAAAGAGATTATGCTTGGAAAACGTGTCCTTGTTTTTTCATTAATCTACGGATGTACATACGGAGCAAATCTCTCTATATATTTGTGTGTGTAAGAGAGTGAGTCAGTATGTGTGCAAAAGATCGCGGTGTTCTTTACTGAAAACCAGAGATTGAGGATTAGTTGGGCTCCACACCAAATCAAATGTAAGAATGATGAGAATAGGAAGATTGTTTTGTACCAGTCCTTAAAATGGGGACTGCTTACTCCCTTTGAAAATCGAACATCGACTGCAGGTACCGGTTGAAAATAGGTTATCGTAGCTGTTACTTACTCAGTTGTCAAGTTTGGCACAAGGCTACTAGGGGCACGCTGTTGAGATCGAACTCACGACTCGGTAATGATGAGATCCAGATTAGCTTATTCATCCAAGAAGCGGTCTTCAAAACCTAAGCTTAGTTTGACACACAACCACAAGTGTATAGAACTCTTTACAGTTATTTAAACAAGTTACCAATTCCTTAAAAAATGATTAAGTTTGGCACAAGTTCAGAGGATTATCAGCGAGAATTGAACTTATTATTCCAGAAGGAATGGTCAATCAGCTTCGTAAACATTACTCAACGCCGAGGCGCCCTTAGCAAACCTTGCTAAGAATGGCGCATGACTATAGTTCTGGGTGCCACCCAATGTCTCCAGAAATCGTTACCCAGTAGCAATGGCCATCTACACCGTTATCGAATGTCAAGCTGCATTAAAGAATTAAGTTTCATTTGATTTAGCACAAAGTCACATATATGGGGGTCCAAGTGAGAATCGAACGCTTAGCTCAGTAACGATGGTCATCCAGACTTGCTAGATGAAAGGACCAGATAAATCTCTCTCACAGTCCCTAATATAAAATTCCGAGAAACTGCATTCTGCATCTGGTAGAAACGAGTTAATTCCTATGTAAGATAAACCTTGGGATAATGATAACCTCTGTTCAGATATATTAGAGAGAGAGAGAGAGTGTGTGTGTGTGTGTGTGTGTGTGTGTGTGTGTGTGTGTGTGTGTGTATGTATATATATATATGAGAAAGTGTACATAGATAAAAATATGTTTATGTATATGCGTGTTTTTTATATATATATATATATATATATATATATATATATATAGTGAAATAAATTATTATAATGGAACCTTAAAGTGGTCTATTTTTTTCTTTAAAAAATATATATATATATATATATATATATATATATATATATATATATATATATATAACTATATATAAAAATATTTATATCCATATATGTACATATAGTGTATACACACACATATATATATATAATATATATAAAATATGTTTATATCCATATATGTACATATATGTGTATACACACACACACACACACATATATATATATATATATATATATACTATATAAAAATGTTTATATCCATATATGTACATATAGTGTGTATATACACACACACACACATATATATATATATATATATATAACGGTATGTGTATGTAAATGTGTGTATATTGTAGATATAAAATGAGTTCATATGTAAAATGTTTTATCTATAAAGTGGCTTTATTTATATATATATATATATATATATATGACTGTATCTGAGTGTGTGTGTAT